TGTCTCACTTGATGATGGCAACACGTTCCCATACTCTGGCATTGTCTACGTAGCATCGCAAGATGATTTAGAGCCACTTCTGACTGTTAAACAGGAAAATTGGGAAGAAAGAGGTGAGGTTATCGATCTCACAGTGCGCGATCCCATTATTTTATCATGGGATCCTGAAATCATGGGTAAAGACGTAACGGAAGTTGATGTCATGATTCAAGACTCGGATATTAACAACAACGACTTTCCAGTTTTGATGGAAGATATCACTGTTATGAAAAAGGTCCCAAACACCGGTAGCGTCATCATCCCAACAGCTGTTCTAGCTTCACATCTTGGTAATGCAATAAAAAGAGGAAAAGACTTGTCGAATGTAGCATTTCACATAAAACATGTCGGGAAAGCTGTCACTTCATTTGTGAGTAAGGTGTATTCAAAAATAACCCTACTAATCAAATCAATTCATGATAGTCTTTGTACAGATTACACCAAGATATTGAGTGATGTTCCAAAGGACGTTCCTGCCTGCCCATGTACTTTAGCTCAGGCTAATGCGAATTCTGACTTCGAAATATCAAATTTTCTAAATTCTTTCTTTCATAAAGGGGCTGAGGACTGCATCAGATCAACAACATCAACCCCATCAGGCTCTGGCCAACAGTGTTGTTACGGAACAGATGGTAAAATCTTAGTCGGCGGATCTCAGGGTGGAGGAACTGCTGACAGATACAGTCCAGTGGATAATTTCTGGCGCCATCAAAAGTATGACGTTCTGCCGTATATTGCCTGCTGCAAATTATCAAAAAACTGCGATAAATACTATAAAACCCGGCCATCAGATGATTGCTCAGATTATGACCCACCTAGACCAGCAGGAGGTATGGGAGACCCTCACGTAACAACTCTTGACGGCAAGAAATTCACTTTCAATGGAGCTGGGGAATTCCTGATGGCATCTTCCAAATTATACAATTTGATCTTCCAAGCTCGTATGGAGGTGTATCTTGACACCCTGGCCACTGTTTACACAGCATTTGTTATTCATACCAATAACTCGGCGAAAGTCCAGGTGCAGATGTCAAATATCAATGAGACATTGGTTCTTGTCGATGGTGAGCCTCTGCGTCTTGCTTCCAGTCCTGTTAAAGTTCATTATCTAAATGGGGTGTGCGTCAGTGTGAACGACGATTTATCTGAAATTAGGGTTGTTTTTAATGCTGGTACTGCTGTTATCATCTACATTAAATCGGAAGTCATGTCTTTCATTGCTCAATTTGATACAAGGTTCAATGGTCAAGTCAAAGGACTTCTTGGTAATCAGAATGGAGAACCGCACGATGATCTTCAATTTCCAAATGGTACCATCATGAACAGTAATTCTTCTCTACAGAAACTCCATGAATACGGTCTAGAATGGCTTGTGGCTGCAGAGGACTCAATCTTCACATATATATCACCTTATGACTACACTACGTACCATTTTCCGGAATTTACTCCAACTTTCGACGTCCCTGATCTTGATGTTGTTAGTCAGGAAATCAAAGATTTGTGTGGTGATTTCTTTGAATGTGTATTTGATGCAGTGACGACCGGCAGCCTGACATTCGCAAACAATACCCGACTGGTGTCGGCTACCCTTGATATCATTCAAAAATCCTCTGTCAAAATTGTTAGCTGTGGTTTTCCAGGAGATGTAGAGAACGGTCAAATGTTTGGACATGTGTATCTGGTGAACTCAACCGTGGAGGTCACTTGTGAGAGTGGTTACATCTTAAAAGGCTCCTCTAGCCTAACTTGCCATGGGGATGGCCGTTGGTCGGCCGATCTTCCTCAATGTGAAAGGTCTGGTAAAGGTTTACGCACTTCAATTATAATGGTAATTGTTTTAAGCACATTGATCATTCTTGCTGCTGCTTGTGTTGCAATTGTCATTTACTTGAAGAAAAAAAAATCTTATGCCTTTCTTGTGGCTTCGGACTAACCAGCTCACCAAATATGAGCCATCAGTTAGAAGTTTTTTTGTTATTTTTTTTTTATTTCTTCATATCACATTTACAAAAATCATATAATAGATATAATAGAGATAAAAGAAATGCAAGTTATATTTACATAAATTAAACGGTAAAGCCAAGAACATATTTGAAAAAATATACTGTAACAATTTAAAGTAAATTTTAAAATTTTGACCATTCTGCGTTGAAAATTATTTGCTTTACTTTCTGTATAGCAACGTATCTTAAAACATTTAGGCCTAAATAATTTTAAGGTACAAATTAAGTGCTCTGATATTTGGAATCGTTTTGCCTACTCTGCATTTATGAATTAAGTATTTTGTAAGAATAACAATAGTGTAGTTATTCAAGGAGTTTGTAGTCAATGGAAAAATAACAATACAGTTGTTCCACAAGGATCGGTCTTGGGTCTGTTTTTTTTTCTTAGTTTATATAAATGATATTGTTGACCACTTCAAATTTAATATGAACTTGCATGTTGATGATCATGCTTATATGAAATTACTAATGATAGAAACATCATTGCAACTAGATTAAATAACGATTTAAAAATTATTTTTGAATGGCCTGGAAGGTGGAAGGTATAAACTTCAACACTGATAAAACCAAGGCAGTTCTGTTCTCAAGTTGTCTGATGCAAACACTGTTTAATTTATGTTTATTCTTTGAAAATGATGAAATTAAATTGTTATACATCATCAACACTTAGGCTTAATATTTAGTTATGATTTATCATGGAATAGGCACATATAATTAATACTATAATAAAGCCACTCCATCATTAAATATGATGAAATGTGTAAAAAAAATTCTTATCACGACCAAGTTTAGTAAAAAATTTATATCACTTGTATTTGACCACTGTTAGAATATGCTTCCCCTGTGTGGGATAACATGACCTGTAGCTTAGCTTCAGATCTAGAAAATCTTCAAATGATTTTTGCAAGAATCTGTTCAGATGCATGGAAGCCTCCACAGTACGCGAAGTTATTTTAAGCAGTGTTTATTTTACAAAAAATATATAAATATTATATATATATTAACATATAGTAAATAAATGTTAGCGTTCGAAATGTTTTTACACTACAAAAGCTTCAGGAATTCAGAAAAGCAATGAGTTCCAGAGCGGCTTAGAATTGAATCGAAAATTATATAATAATAATGAGCTTATTATTTAATATTGTAGTGTTTGTAGTAAATGTTGGCACTAATCCTTAGAGGTCCAGGTGCTGGGCTATAACGTTTCATAATTTGACATTGAATCGATATCTTATATGACTTCTAAAAGCTCTTTATATGAAATACAGAATACATATTTTATGTTTAAAAAACAAAAATATTTAACAATATATTTAATTATTGAATAGAGCACCATGAGGAAATGTTTTGTAATATATGTAATATTTTATAGTAGTGTAAGGTAATAGTAAAGTTGTACAGCGCTTGATGTGTGGACTAGTTTGTAGTAGCCACTTGGTCGCAAGAGTCGCATAAGCATTCGCTTTAGGTGATAACTTTTATTAAAACTATTATAAACTTATCTTAATAATATGCATGTTTATTTCTTGATGAATAAAGAATCTTAAAAAATGAAGGTGTTGGCAATTGCTTACCTATCGATACCTGTTGGTATGTTTCTTTTTTCACAACAGTTGAGCCATCACCTAGGTTGAACTTCTTTCACATTAGTCTCAGGAAATAGTGAGAATAAATGATGGTGCTTGAGAAACTTCTTGTAAGCCTTCTAACTAGTGTGATGCCTTCGTCTTATTGTGGACAAAATATATTAAGATAGATCTAAAATTACTAAATTTAACAATATCACAAAAACAACTGAAGCTTCAAGTCAACACGGAAAAATAGTCAACAAATGACAAACAAAAACATTTTTAAATTTGGTTACAATCAACTGACCTGGGGACAAGTTCATTGAGCATGGCAATTCATTCCATAGTTGAGAGCAAGGCAACTGAAAAAGAACAGCTGTCATAATTAATACAAATCACATAACTATCGGTTGATTTCACGTTGATTTATAATCACGCGGTACTGGGGAGGGACAACTTGATTTCCTGCTCAACAACTCATCCATTCGTAGAAGCCTTTATGAAGAAAGCCTACCTAAAATGGCCTAGATTGGCGTGAGACCAGCTAACTCCGGCTTTGATTATTTAGGAAGATTGAAAAATATTAATAGAGTATACAATGTACTCAGTGTTGTTTTGAAAATTTATATTAATTATATGTTAGTAGTATTAATAATTTAGGTTAAAATTTCCACATGGATAAAATACATTTATTCCTTTCTTTGAACAAAGTATTCAGTTGTAAATATGTAATTATTAGTAAAATAAATTAAATTTAACAAAAATATGGAAAAAGCATAAGAAGAAAGAATAGGAAAGAAATTTGGATTGGCTGAAATATTTACTGAAAATAAACAATAATAATCATTTTTTCATTATTGCATCACGTTTTTGTGAAAAATTTGTTTAGACTCTAATCGTCAGAGGTCAAGGTGCAGGCAGCCTACACATTTCATGAACTACGTCATAATAATGATGACAATAACTTTTACAGAGATCCTTTAATGCATAATACCAAATGGGTTTACGGGAGAACACAAACAATTTTTATTTTGTTCTATTTGTACAAAAACAGACTAGTCTTGCACATATCTGTCAAATTTATAGCTCGTTTTATGGTGGATATTTTCAATATCTAACTCACAGTGTGAAGCTAAAGCTTTTATGGTTTATTTCACTATAAGCCGACATTGGTGCATTCAATAAATACAAACTTCCTCAGGAAGATGAATCAAGTTACACTGACAGTTTGAAAAGTTTGTTAATGTTTGTTATGTGCGCATGTTATTAATCAGGATCCTGCTAACCATTGTGTATAAACATAATCAAATGTGCTTGGGTTTTATCTGCGAGTATTTTGTAAACTTTACTATTGAATATCTTATTAAAGCCTACGGTGTATTGTGAGTGTCTGCAGCGTATGAAGCCATAACTGATTCAAGTGAACTTCAACTTGCAAGGTATTTAAAGTTTGTTTTTTTATTGAAAGTTCAGATTTTGGATATTATATTTTATTACTGTGATATAGAGAACATCCTTGTCATTGTTACAAATGAAGCTCTAAGACGACACAACATCATGGGCGTCAATCGGTGGGGCCAGGGGGACACGTTCCCTCATTTTTCACAGTAGGGGGAAACATAATATCAATTGTTCCCCGCGAATGGAAAAAAAACCAGTTAGGACGCATGACTGTCACAGATTTTATCCTGTTTACTTTTCCAAGTGCGATGCATATTTCCAAACAAAACCAAGTAAAACGCAATTGTTTGTACATTTCGTAACCAAATCAGTAACCACTACATCGATTTACGGGTGCAACGGTTATTTATTGTGAAAACAATGCACTGTACGTAACATGTATTTCCATACAAAATTTTCCCAATACCCTGTGGCGGATCCAGTTACATCTTTTACAGATGGAGAGTGTAGACCACCTCAGTCCCAGTCATGGTTGGGGCTGAGGTAAGAAAATTTATAATTATGGCACATCTAGTTGACTGGAAATGGCACTCTCAGCTTAAATTTGAATATAATTTTTGCTTTTCTTCACTTATAAAAAAAAAAAAAAAAAAATTAGAGAGGGTGGGCTGGCTGGGCCATAATGATGGAAGTCTGGAACCAGCTATCACAAGACATCCGAAATTTGTTAACACTTTGTGAGTTCAAGACTGGACTTAATTCATTTCTTTTTATTTCTCATTTTGATTAAATACAATAACTGTTCCCCCTCCTCCCCCCATTTTTCACAGGCCGGCATTTATTTTTTGGGGGCCATTGTCTCGATTACAACTCCTGAGCACCCAGTCGTCTGTGGCAGGGCAAATGTGTTTCCAGTTCCTTTGTTCGAGCCACATAGGCAGAGGTCTGGGAATGCGCCAGGGTGGTGATGGATGGTGACCCCAAAGAGTATTTGCATCGTATTTTGCCTATCTTCCCATTCATGTTAGTTCAGTCATAAAAATAATATACATAAAAATAAATAAATAATTAAAATAAAATAAATTAATTCAAAATAATAATGCAGAAATAAGGCTACATGTACATTCTGCAGGTGGAAAACGACACCGTGAGCAGCTCTACCAAAAGATGGATACGTGCCAGTAATAAGATGACATTATCACTATTATTATTAATAGTGCCTCTGTAAAGAAAGTGGTATTTTACCCGAGAAAATCTTTGGCTTTTATGTTGTGGTGCATAAGATTAATACAGTATGCCACCTTGTTTCTTTATTTCGTTCTTAATTCAATTTCTCTGCTATAAAATTATATCAGGCAGAGTGGCCAACAAAGACATAAAATCATATAATTACTGGTTGTTATAGTTGTAATGACATTATATGTATTTAACTGATTAACTATAACAAAATTAAATAAATTTTATTTAAAAAATGTTCGCTATAAATGAAAAAAATTAAAGTTTGATTTTAACTTTTGAGGTTTTTATCAACTTTTTAAAAAACAAAAGTATTATCTTTACAGGTATGTCTGTATCTAAGGCATTACAGTTAATGGATCAAAAAGATCTTGAGTGTGCCATCTGCCTCAACAGGTTTCACCAACCAAAGACACTGAAATGCATGCACACCTACTGTCAACAGTGTATCCAGAAATGGGTGGAAACTCATGGGAAGATAGAATGCCCAACATGTGGCCAACAGCATGATCTAACCAAAGGAGACTTAAAACAACAGCTTGCTTCAAATACAATGATAAGTCAACTATTGGAGTATGTCATGAAAACTGAGGAACAAAAACCAACTAAATGCTCTTTCTGTGACAACCAACCAGCATACCACTGCTCAACATGTCAGCTGTATCTATGTGAAGGCAACTGTATCAAACAACACAAGGCAGTACCTTTAACTAAGGATCATCCACTTTACACACTAGACATAAAGGAACCAGATGGCCAACCAACTAACTGCCAAGTTCACTGCAACACCCCACTAAATTTTACTGCTCCAATTGCAAAAAATCAGCATGTAAATGATGTGAACACATCCTTTGCTGTTATCAAAAACAACATGAAGTGATTCCAATGTCAACTGCCATAGAAGAGTTTAACAAAGATGTCACCGAACTTGTCAAATTAGCAGAGGAAATTGAAAATAAATTAACAGAAAAAGTTGAATTCATAGCTAAAAGTAAATCATCATTTAAATCACAACTAAGTTTAAGTACAACAGCCACTGAAATCCAGGAAAATAAACTTATTAAGAAATTTCAAGAGAAAAGCAAAGAATTAATTTTGAATATGAAAAAGTTATACAAAGAAAAAGAAGATGCCCTTGATAGTAAATTTAAAGATATTGATTCACAGAGAACTCAAGTGAATAATCTAATGGCCTCAATCAATAAAATGATGAACAAACCAGAAGAACGAGAAACACTTGGATCCCATAAAACAGCTATCAACGCTGTCAGAGACAAGGTCCTAGCAACTGATTTTGATAAATAATTTTATAAAATAAATAAATATTACACCACATTTCATTCCATGTACGCACTTGGATGAGTTGATGAATACAGAAGGCATTGGTAAAATCATAACTGTTGATATGACGTATGAGGTTGCTGATGAAGATAAAGAATTTACTGTCACAAAAGGACAACCATTTGTAGTGAAAGTATCAAGTCTATCAGAGAGTGATGCATGCCAATTAGCTGCAACATTATTAAACTCATCATGTGAAGAATCACCAACTGACGTAGAATATGATGGAGATGAACAGTACACAATAACAGGTAGATGCAATGTGGAAGGTGATTGGCAAATGAAGGTAACTGCTAGAGCTGAGCACATCAAAGGATCTCCAGTGAATATCAAGGTGGAAGCACTAGGACTTGTTCATACTACTGGTAATATATCAGATTATACACAACATTGTTAAGACAATTGGGTGAGTGATGTAGTGTTAGCCAGAGATGGATGCATATTAGTATCAAGTGAAAGTAAAGATATATTGAAGTTCAACCAATCAGGTTCATTTGTTGCTAGGATACAGGTGCCACAAAATGTGAAGGTGAATCGAATGCATCTAATGAGTGATGGTAACATGATATATAGTGATGACATAGCAAAATGTATAGTATCTTGTGATGGAAAATTTCAAGAAGTCCATTCATTTGGTAAAGGCATGTTGAGAATACCAGTGGGCTTGACATTTAACAAGGAAACTAGAGCCTTGTATGTAGCAGATGAATATGCTCAGTGTGTGTATAAATTCAATGTTTGATGGCAGGCTACTGGGTGTGATAGGTTCACAGATTAGTGGAGTAGGTCAAATGTATCAACCAAAAGATGTCACTTTAACTAAGGAAGGTCACATGATTGGAAATGACAGAATACAAATGTTTGATGCAAATGGTAAATTCATGAAAATACTTGTAGGCTGTGGTAAGGAAGATGGCAAAGTTTGGGGTCCTCATGGTGTAACCATGGATATGGATAAAAATATAACAGTTTCAAATATTCAAAAGCTACAATTATTTGATAAAAAATGGTGACTTCATAAAACAAATAGATCATAAGGCGATGGATTTAGTCTTCCACTAGGAATCACAGTAATCTCCAACAGACCAAGAAGAGCAGCAGTAGCCAACCTCGGACAAAACAATGTAAAAATATTCAATTAGTAAAATGACACATTGAAAACCTTATTAACAGGCTCCATTATTAGATAATGTAAAATAATACTTCTACAGTTTTTTAATACATCAATAAATATTTTTGACAAATATATTCAATCAGATTCAAAACAAATGAATGAGAATAACTATCACACTATTAATGTTTATACATCACTCAATTAATTATTATATTCTATCAGTTGGTAATTTTATTGTCATTATTTCTGTATTTATAATTATATTGAATAAATATTATAATATATTGAATAAATAAATGAAATGAATGAATGAATGAGCAATTGAATAAAAAAGTTGCATGTGAGTTGACATGTCTCTGAATGAGCATAATCTAGATAGTTTTAATAGGAGCAAATATAAAATTAGAATAATTATTATGAATCTTTGTTTTGAATTGCATTTTAAGTAATGATGTTGAGCACTGATACCCACTGAGAACTGTTCCTATATGAAGTCAAATTGAGTTGTGATGTATTTAACTTTATTTGGTAATTAATTCCCAATCAATTATAAAAATTCTTATGTTATATTGTATTGTGTTGTGTTTTATATGTTGTAAGCTATACTCTTTAGCAAAATTGAAAAAATGTATTTTACAAGTTTATTAACTTATTTACATATTTTTATGTCCTGGGTAAAAAATAAGTAAAAAAAAAAAAAGTAAATTGAAATTGAATTATTCCAATTATGTAACTCTAAGCATCTGCTACAACTCTGTTACATCTCACCTGGAAAGAAGTCAACCAT